TCAAGGAAGGCATCGTGGGAACCTCCAGTTGACAGCTGGTTTGTCAGAAGCACAGGTGACAACGTGGATCTGGGATTGGTATCTGAAGTGTGAGGGGAGGGGGCAGTCTTTTGGGGTTGAACCCTTCATCTGTGGAGTCTGGCACTATCTCCACATAAACGGTGTTAGAATTGAGTTGAATAGTAGCACACGCAGTGGGTGTCAGAGAATTGCTTGCTGGTGTGGGGAAACTTCCCCCCTTCCCACATTGGAAATGGGTGCAGAAGCTTAGGTATCCAATTTTGTTTTAAAATGAAACCACCAAACATATATGTAAATACACTAACCAGTTTTTAAGGTAGAGGAGAAAATTATTGTCGATCCATTTTCCTTAATTTCAGTGACGAAGAATTTATCTTGGAGCTTGGCACATTTGTAATATTCACTCTGAGGAGGACTGCGTTCTTTTCAATTGGCAAAGACTGTCGTGATAATTTCTTAAATGTAATAAGTATTGTAGAAGCATTTGCTTATTGTTTTCAGATCGCTGGAGATCTAGTAAGCTTTATAACTTCATAATATCCAAGATCTTGTCTTCTTTTCAAAAGTTCAAGCAAGGGCTTCATGGGCTTTTTGGATGCTTATGAGCAGGCTGTAAAAAGGATCAGGATCCTTTCTATTCTGTTTTCAGCTGGTCTCTCTAACCCCAGAAATGCTTTCTGTAAGAATCTGTCCAAGTATATCTTTAAAAGATGAAAGTCTAAGGTAGACTTTTTGAATTTTGGTCTGTTACATTTCTATCAGTTTTCTAATTATTTCTCTCTGTAATTAAACAGTGACAGAAAATTCTGTTTATAGGATCTGAGTATTTAACTAACGTATTATGCAAGTAGCTTCTTCACAATCCTTAACTGAGTCAACATATTTGGTTTTAATTTTAACTTCTTTGGAGAAGTTCTGGAATATCCAATCGAATAGTTACGTGCATCTGTGTGAATGCGCAGGATTTGATATTTCACACAACACTCTTTCAAATGATTGAATCAGTTGAGTTCCATAGTCCTTAACCTGGCCATATTAGGTTACAGCACTGATGGCCTCTGTGAATCCTATAATTGGGAACACTACCACTTAATTACAAGGTGATTTTTAATTGAGGCTTTCTTTTAGCCAATCAGATGTAACAGTGCCTTCTTGGTTTTTGGTTCAGGGAATTGTTAAACACAAAAAATTCAATTAAATCCCTGTGCTCTTCTGGCTTCTCTGTGTCGTCTTTGGCCGAATATGCCAACAGAAAATTTGCTCCTATTCCAATATTGAAGCTCACGTACAATGGTTTATATGTTCTCCTTGATAAATTATATTGGAATATCCTCCATAATTCTGGGCTTACTGAACTTTTCCAGGGTTTGGGGGTCATTTATTTTTTCTTTTTTTCTGTTTTCACCTGAAGTCTAGAAGAGATTTGGAGGCAGGAATGGTGCTTCTCCTATTTGGTTGCTCAAGGAAAAAATAATTTAAATTTCATGAAATAGGCCCACCACAAGTGTGATCTAAAAACTGTTTCGATACCTAGGCAAAGTTTCCCAAGAAGCTGAGAGAAAAACTTTAACCTAGAAGGGAAAATTCTGACTATATAACTTTACTTCAAAGTTGAGAGAAACTTTGAGTACTGGGTGAAAGTTAGCATTTGGCTTTTGAGAGACACTTTGTTTTTCTCCTGTCTTGCCTGTGCCTACCAAGTCCCACTATTACAGAAAGCTTTATGTAGTTCTCTATGTAGTTCTCTTTGTATCCAGAAATGTTATCATTAGGAGGTTACATTTTTTTGTTAGAAGGTGTCTTCAGATGCCAAATCACGTGGTTTGGGATCATTTTTGCCAACTCAAATACTTTCTTTTGATGGCAGGTGACTAAATTTGTACTGTACGTATTATTTTCATTCTCATCCATAGAGATATTTAAATTGGGCCTTCTCTAAACAGTCTTGTACTACAGGTTGTTCTCTTTGAAAAATAGACTACTGAAAGCTTGGATGAGCAGAAATAACTTGTGTGATACCTGCATGTTTTTCTTTGATTGTTTTGGGTATTTGGGCTTCTTGAGATTCCGAATGAACTTTAGGATGGGTTTTTAAATTTCTGCAAAAAATACCATTGGGATAATGACTGCATTTAGCTGGTAGAAAGCTTTGGGTAGTATTGATCTTAACAGTAATAAATCTTCCAATTCACGAAAATGGGATATTTCCACTTATTTGTCTTCTTTATTTTCTTGCATGTCACTCTGTGGACCCCGATGAAAGGATATTTCACAATCAATAATGTAAGTGGCTAGTGCATGGCTATAAAACAACACATTTCAGCCAGAGTGACAACTACTTGCAGTAGGTCAGCTCCAGGAAGATTTGAAGAGAAGCGTTGTGGCTTTTCCAGCCACTACATTTGCAAATCTCCCTCTGCAGTTTATTGGCTGGTGGAATAGTTTCCTGAACCCAGCTGAGCTGCCTAGACCCTTGGTCCAGCCTTGCCAACCTCAGACATGGATATACCATGTGAAGGCTAGAGAGCAGGTGCAAAAATGTGTTTTCTGAACAGGTACTATGGAATCAAGGATAATGTAGCTCCTGCAGAGTTGCCTGTAAATGGCAGAAATAGAGACACAGATGTAAAGAATAAACATATGGACACCAAGAGGGGGAAGGGGGGGCAGTGGGATGAATTGGGAGATTGGGATTGACATATATACACTACTATGGATAAAATAGATAATTAATGAGAACCTGCTGTATAGCACAGGGAACTCCACTTCGGTGTACAGTAGAAACTAACACAACATTGGGAAACAACTATACCCCCCCCAAAAAAAAAGAATTAGCTCAAGTGAAAATATACTTTTTCCTTAATGATTAGGTGAGTGAGTGACCCACTGCAATCTCTCTGCAAGTGACAGGCAGTGCCAATAGGAACAATAGGTACCTTGGGCAAGACCTACTTTGTAGCTAACTCCACACTCATGAGTTTCTTAAAGATATTCTTACACTGCTTTAGACCGGATCCATACAAAGGCAATATCCTTTTTTTGTGTCCATTTTAAGCAAACACTTATTTGTTTTCAGGGTGTTTAATGTGTCAGAGAGGCTATAGGCTTTGCATGCACACCAACAGCATTGTCCAGTGTTAATGTACACTAGAAATCTGGTGGGTATCCACAGAGGAAATTAGTTTTCCAATAGTGACGGAACTGTCAGAAACTCAAGTGTACAGAAATTTGACCAATTCAGTGGTCTGATTTTAGCTGTAGAGTCCAGGTAAATTCCAAGAGTACTGTCTTCAGTGATGCCCACTTGACTCAGTTCTTTGGCCCTCGTCTAAAAGTGTGTATGCAAGAGGCTGGCTTAGTGACTGCCATCCTTAGCTGTTTGGAAGTCAACACTTTAATAACCCACTGATTTCATGCATCTAGTTATGGCTGTTAATGTCAATCTGACTCTTGTCCCTTGATAGGTGCTCTGTTCTTTTCCTCTGGAAGATTTCAGAATCTTTCCTGTCATTTAAAATTTCAGATTTGTTTTTCCTCCAAAGCCCAGTTTTTAACACTTGGGTCCTTTCTAAAGTCATTCTCTTATTTTTCAAGTTAAGAGAAACTTTCCCCATTATCCCTTTAAATATTTCCTCCTAATTATTTAAATTTTTCTCTTTCTGGAAAATGCTATTATTAACAGTTCTACTTCTATTCTCCTTATCTCTTAATTTTATTTTGGTATTTTCTATTTTTAAAAATCCTTTCTTGTTCCTTCCTGGGAGAGTTTGTCAATCGGATATTCCAAACTGCAAATCCACAAAGCAATAAGTATACATTCTACTATTTATTCCAACACTTGTGACTTTATTTCTTGCCACTTGATTCTTTTTAAAGATTATTTGTTACTGTCCTATTCTGCTAATAACTTCTCTTGGTTTTTCGGGACAGCCAAGCAGTTTCAAAGTGAACTTACAGACATGATTTCAACATTTGTTAAAGCAAACTTATAGCCAGGATCGAGTATGGCTGTATTTTAATGTATTTAATGTGATGTGGGCTAGGATCTGTGAAGGAAAGAACGCCTACAGACGTCAAGACATCAAACTGTTCTTGGTCCTAATAGAGGCAGAACGTACAAAGGGCTAGGTAAACACGTAAAAACTAGGGACTGCAAGATTACAGAGTGTGGCAATAATAACTTAGGGTACTAAGGAAGATTTTTTGGAAGAGTCTATATTCGGACAAGGATCGTATATGGGGTCTTCTGCATTCCATGGCTGTCTAGCAATGGCATATCCAACCATGAAATGTAGAGAAGCCACCGTGTTCGCACCAGTCTTTGCAAATACACGCATTTTGCCGCCTCCTGCGGTAAGTAATGTACTAGGAGGAACCTTGTTTGCTGTCGGTAACTTGAGCATTTTCATCCTTGCTCCTTCTCTTCACTGGGATTAGAAATTACTTCAAAAACCGCCGGCCTGGGCTTCCCTGGTGGCGCAGTGGTTGAGAGTCCGCCTGCCGATGCAGGGGACATGGGTTCGTGCTCCGGTCCGGGAGGATCCCATGTGCCGCGGAGCGGCTGGGCCCGTGAGCCATGGCCGTTGAGCCTGCGCGTCCGGAGCCTGTGCTCCGCAACGGGAGAGGCCACAACAGTGAGAGGCCCGCATACCGCAAAAACAAAAACCAAAACCGCCGGCCTAAGGAAAAGACGCAAACAAAACCAGGCACCCGCTTCATCTGAGAACTGGAACTCGCGCGGCTTTTCCTTCCTTAACTAGGAACCGAAAGTTTTCCCCCAGCCCTACCGGCCCAACCGCGGCACGCTGGGCGCGCGCCCGCCGCGGCCCAAGGCCGCCGAGCGCTCCGCCGGCTTTTTCCTTCCGGCGCTTTCCCCGTGCGCCCCCTGCTGGCGAGCGTCTAGCTCCCGCGCTCCGCCCTCAGTCAGCGCAACGGGCGTCGCTGTTGGGCCAGCGCGGCTCCAGGTCAGCGGAGCCATGTTCCTCCTGCTGGTTCTGTTCACCGGCCTAGGCGGGCTGCACGGAGGCCGCAGTGAGTCCAGAGACCGTTCCCCTCGCTTTGTTCGGTCGGGGGGCTGCCCTCGTTGGTCCAGGATCCAGGCCCAGTACTCCCTCCCTCCCCTCGCCCCTCGCCCTCACCCCCCACAGCCTCCCGACCCTTGGCCTCGAGGACTGCAGCTAAGGAGGCAGAGAGGCAGCCTCCGGGGGAAAATCTTTTCATTTCCGTGGGGTGGTTTCCTTGTCTGGAAAACGGACAGAAATGAAAGGTGTGGCCTTTTTCTACCTACAGCAGTCTAACTTTGTGTGTGTGTGTGTGTATGTGTGTGTGTGTAGAGAATAAAAAGTTAAGATTTGACAAGGCTTAAGAAATTTATCGGTAAGAATGACCGAAGGACAGCAGAAAGGAAAAGTAGATGCATAGATTATAAGAAAAACTTGGTAATGTAGAGAAACAAATGAATTGGGTTTAGAAATGAATAATGCAAGATTACAAGTATCACAGTAACTGCTTATTTTTTGTTTTAGATCCTCATAAAACCTTTCTGCAGACCACAGTTCCTGAAAAGATTTCAACATCCGAGGCAATAGAACATCCAGAAACTAATGTAATTGGGAAAAAATATTTTTATTTCTTAAATTGTGTTAAGTTGCTTTTAATATCAAGACCCTAGTAGCTGAAGGTGGGCTCCAGCTCTTGGAGGCACAGCTGACCACTCAGGCCAGGTTCACAGGGAGGAGCATTTTGATGTGTATTTGTGTGTGTGACCCTGTGTGTGTGTGTTTCTGTTGAGGACGAAGGATTCTAAGGAGGATCCACCGGGGCCAGCACTAGGGAAAGGCAAGCAAAGTGCTTGACTCAGGTGCAGAATTTAAGGGAGTGGCAAAGAACTGGGATTAGGATGAGGCTGAATGAGGTTAGACCAGGTCAGATCCTGTCTTTCTTGAAGGTATTGATATTTTTTTCCATCACGGAAGTTTTGCATTAATTTTGATTGTTTAAAGTATTGCATTGAAATAGTACTTATCTTGATTACTGAGTTTTCTGGGCCCCGCCCCTCGTCCTAGGCCTGCGGATTTGCCCTCAGCTACTTACCTCAACTTTCAGTTAGTCAGGGAAGAGCTGAAAGTGATCAGTGAGTGAAAGTGAGAAAGATGAGCTGATTTTTCAAGTTAAGAGGCAGTCTGGGTCAGCTTTTCAGCCATAGCTTGGAGGGGGACAATTTTCTCTGTGTTCTGTTTAGAGGCCTCTAGATACCAATTAAATAAGCTTCCCACTCATTTTGCCTAGTTGTTACACTTTTTTTTTTTTTCCCAATTGCATGTGGAGATAAACTAATTTGGGAATGTCAAAAGTTCTTCATTTTGGCCAGTGTAATTTTAAATCATCTTGGGTAAAATGGACCCACTTAGATAGATATTTACAGGATGAGGGTCCACAGGTGTTAAACATAGGGCCAGCTGGTGTTACTTCTTGGGTAGTGGCAGTGGATTTTAACTTGGCACTTGAAAATTTGCTTGCAATTTTGGAATCAAAAGGTATTTCCGGTAGTTGTGCATTCAGCTAGACGTTTGGGCAGAAAGACTGCTGATACACAGAGTGGAAAACCAGTACAGTGCCTGCTACAAGTCTTACATCTTCCTCCTCTGAATTTTTCTTAATCCCCCAAATTTGTTATATGACCTTCTTTGGTACTGTAGGAGGAAACCATTTTTTTTTTTGCCTAGCTGTTAGTATGTGCTGGTTTATATTTGACTTTCCACCATTTTTGATGTTTAGTGAACAATTGCAAACTGCACAAAGAGCTTCAAAAGGACTTTTTCCTCAGTCGAGGAGTTTCTACTGTTAGCAAATTCATTACAAAATTTGCACTTGCCTTTTGACATTTTGGGGTTTAAATATACACATATAAAAATACAGGTAGTGGTTCCAAAACATTTCAAAAAGAATTGAAAATATTGAATTTGAAAATCTTGCAGCTGTGTCAGTGAAACTCACATGTTCAAACTCATAACTAATCATAAATGAGCTGAACTGTTGAAAAGATTGTGAACCTGTGAACAAACTATAAACTGAACTTGATATGTTATTTAAAAAAATGGGGAACTTCCAATTTGCCTGTAAGGGCCAGTTGTAAACACAGTCTTTCTGAAGAAAGCCAGAGTTAATGTTATGTAAGGTTTTGGGAAGCCTGGTGTCAGGGAGCCATGGGCTTTCAGAAGTGAGAGTGTTTAGGTGCTGGCAGGCTCTCAGCTGTGTTAGTGCAGTTAGTACAGGAAGAGTACTTGCTGGTCTTCTCACTTTCAGAATCCTCATCAGTGCAGTGTCAGAGGAGGGAGGCACTTACTCCTATCTAGAAGCTGTGGCTGTCACTGATTGGCTGACTTTCAGAAACTTTGGGCTGTCATTGATTTGCTAACTTGCAGAAGCTAGTTATTTGAGTATGGCTCTTCTAGCCACATGCCATTGGTAGTTTGATAGGGATTGCACTGAATCTGTAGATTGCCTTGGGTAGTATGGTCATTTTAACAATATTAATTCCTCGAATCCATGAACACAGTATATCTTTCCATCTGTTTGTGTCATTTTCAATTTCTTTCATCAGTGTCTTATGGTTGGTTTTCTGAGTACAGGTCTTTTACCTCCTTGGTTAGATTTATTCCTAGGTATTTTATTCTTTTTGATGCAATTGTAAGTTGGATTGTTTTCTTAATTTTTATTTCTGATAGTTTATTGTCAGTGTATAGAATGCAACAGATTTCTGTGTATCAGTTTTGTATCCTGCAACTTTACTGAATTCATTTATTAGTTCTAATAGTTTTTTGGTGGCCTCTTGACGATATTCTATATATAGTATCATGTTGTATGGAACAGTGACTGTTGTAGTTCTACCATTTCAGTTTGATTTTCTTTTATTTATTTTTGTCTGATTACTCTGGCTAGGCTTTCCAGTACTATGTTGAATAAAAGTGATGAGAGCGAGGATCCTTGTTTTTTTCCTGGTCTTAGAGGAAAAGCTTTCAGTTTTTCACCATTGAGTATGTTAGCTGTGGGCTTGTCCGATATGGACTTTATTATGTTGAGGTATCATAAATGATGTTGAGTTTTGTCAAAAGCTTTTTCTGCATCTATTGAGATGATCATATGATTTTTACTCTTGAATTTGTTGATGTGGTGTATCACAATATTTGATTTGTAGATATTGAAATATCCTTGTATCTTTGACATAAATCCAATTTGATCACGGTGTATGGTCCTTTGAATATATTGTTTAATTTGGCTTGCTAATATTTTGTTGAGGATTTTTGCCTCTATGTTCATCAGTGATGTTGTCCTATAATTTTTTTTGTGTGTGTGTGTGATGTCTTTGTCTGGTTTTGGTATCAGGCTGATGTTGGCTTCATAGAATAAGTTAGGGAGTGTTCCTTCCTCTTTAATTTTTGGGAATAGTTTGAGAAGGACAAGTGTTAACTCTTCTTTTAATGTTTGGTAGGATTCATCTGTGAAGCTATCTGGTTCTGGACTTTTGTTTGTTGGGAGTTTATTTAAATTACTGATTCAGTTCATTACAATTCTGTTCATATTTTGTATTTCTTCTTGATTTAGTCTTGGTAGATTGTACATTTATAAGAATTTATCCATTTCTTCTGGATTGTCCATTTTATTGGTGCATAATTGTTCACAGTACTCTCATGATTTTTTGTAGCTCTGGTGTGTTTGTTATAACTTCTTTTTTATTTCTGATTTTATATGGGCCCTCATTTTTCTTGATGAGTGTGGCTAAAGTTTTATTGATTTCATTTATTTTTTCAAAGCACCAGCTCTTAGTTTCGTTTTTTTTTTAAGTCTCTATGTCATCTAGTTCTGCTCTGATCTTTTCATTATCTTTCCTCATACTAACTTTGGGTTTTGTTTGTTCTTCTTTTTGTAGTTCCTTTAGGTGTAAGGTTAGGTTGCTTATTTGAGATTTTGTTTCCTGAGATAGGCTTGTATCACTAGAAACTTCCCTCTTAGAACTGCTTTTGCTGCATTCCATAGAATTTGGATCACTTTGTTTCCATTTTCATTTGTCTCCAGGTATTTTTTGATTTCCTATTTGATTTCCGCAGTGACACATCAGTTGTTTAGTAGCATATTGTTCAGAATCTACGTGTTTGTGTTTTTTGCAGTTCTTTTCTCCTTCTGATTTCTAGTCTCATACCTCTGTGGTTGGGAAAAGAAATGCTTGATGTGATTTCAGTTTTCTCAGATTCACTGAGACTTGTTTTTGGCATAATATGTGACCTATTCTGGAGAATGTTTCAAGTGCATTTGAAAAGAGTGTGTATTCTTTTGCTTTTGGATGTAATGTTCTGTAAGTATCTCTGAAGTGCATTTTGTAATGTGTCATTTAAGGCCAGTGTTTCCTTATTACTTTTGTGTCTGTATTATTTGTCCACTGATGTAAGTGGAGTGTTAAAAACCTTACTGTTACTGTGTTACTCTCAATTCATCCTTTTGTGTTTGTTAGTATTTGCTTTATGCATTTAGGTGCTCCTGTGCTGAGTGCATATATATTTACAATTGTTATATCTTCTTGTTGGCTTGACCCTTTTATCATCTGTGCCATTGGACTGTTTTTCCTATTTTGACCCATATTACACTGCCTTAATTACCGTAGCTTTATCAGAAGTCTTAATATAAGTTAGTATAGGTACTCCTACTTTTCTTTCGAAACTTTAAAGGTGTCATTCCATTGCCACCTGGTGTCCATTGTTTCAGTCGTAGAGTTACACATTATTTATTTATTTTTTAAATTTTATTTATTTTTTATACAGCAGGTTCTTATTAGTTATCTATTTTATACATATTGGTGTATATATGTCAATCCCAGTCTCCCAGTTCATCCCACCACCACCCGCCCCCCGCCACTTTCCCCCCTTGGTGTCCATACGTTTGTTCTCTACATCTGCCTCTATTTCTGCCTTGCAAACCGGTTCACCTGTACCATTTTTCTAGATTCCACATATATGCGTTAATACACAAAATTTGTTTTTCTCTTTCTGACTTACTTCACTCTGTATGACAGTCTCTAGATCCATCCACACATAATTTATTAAGAATTATTTTGAAATTAATGGGTCATTTTTCTCTTACTGATTTTTGAGTATGTTCTCTTTGTCTTTTGTTTTAAATGTTTGAGCATGACATGCCTAGGTTTACTTTCTTTGTGTTCATCCTGATTTGGAATAATAGAATATTTTGAGACTGTGGGTTGATACCTTTCATAAGCTTTGAAAATATCAGCCATGAATTTTTAAAATGTCATTTCTTTCCTAGTCTTATCTTTATCATATGTTTTTGGACTATAATTACATGAGTGTTAGACATTTTTCATTGGTCACATTTCTCTTGTTTTCTTTTTCATATTTTTCTCTCTGTATTTCAATCTGGGTATTTTCTACTGACCTATATTCCTGTCACCAATCTTATCCCCTGCTGTGTCTAATATTCTCTTATACCCTTTTATTGAATTTTTAATAACAGATATTGATTTTTTCTTCTGTAAAATCAGAAATGTCTTTCTGATTTTAATTCCTTTATTAAAGATTCTATACTTCTACTGAAATTCTCCACCTTCTCATTTTAATCATGGTCATTTTATAGATATTACTGTGGCTTTGTTATTATTCTCTATTTTTTATTTGTATTTTTAAAAATTTGATCTTGTTCTTTAGCATTTGTTGTAATTTTTTAATGGAAAAAATGGTGTATTCATTTACTAGAGCTTCCATAACAAAGAAACATGAACAATGTGACTTAAACAACAGAAACTTACTGTCTCATAGTTTTGGAGGCTAGAAGTCCAAGATCAAGGTGTTCGCCGGGTTGGTTCTTTTAGGGACTTTGGCTCCAGGCCTCTATTGTTAGCTTATAGATAGATGTCTTCGTATGAATCTTCGTGTGGGATTCTCCTGTTGTGTATGTCTGTGTCCAAATTTACTTTTTTTTTACAAGGATACCGCTCACATTGGATTAGGGCCCACACTAATGACCTCTCCTTAACTTGATTACCTCTGTAAAGGCCCTGTCTCTGAATAAGGTCACGTTCTGAGGGACTGAGGTTAGGAATTCACATGTAAATTTGGATGGAGGGGAACACAATTCCAAACAGTTGGATGAAAAGTTGTAGAAGCTCTGGATGATGTCTTTTTTGAGTTTTTCTCTCCTCTCAGTTTTGTACATTTCTTGTTAATTGCATCCTAGTTTTGTTGTTGTTTTGCTTTGTAAGACATGTGGATTTTAAATTTTATTGGTGCTATCATATTCCCCTTTATTTTTTCATCATATTTATTTAATAAGAAGGCATTTTTAGAGGGTGCAATTTTCAGGTCCCCTCAAGATTCCACTTAGACGTCTTTGTAGAGCGCCATTCAAATGATTCTTCTCAGAACATTTATCTGCTGCAATGAATCTTGCTCTGTTATAATAGAAAGTTAAAGAACTGAAAACTTTTAAATGGCTATTTCTCTTGCTAAAATAAGTTTTTTAAATTAACCAAATAAATAATTTAATGAATCTTATATTTTCTGTTATCTTCTAGAGGGTTCTCTAGACATGTCTCTGCCCTTCCTCTATCCTCTCCTACCTTCTATTCCAGAGGAATTTCATTGCTTGCATTCGATAAACAAAGTGCAATGGTACTTATTGTGTTACCTTGCTAGAGATATAGTCGATTTCTTGTAGTTCTGTCTTTTAGGAGTGTGTCTTCCAATGAGCAGGAAAATTTACTTCCCAGGAGGGCTGGGAGTAAGCAAGCAAAGGTTTCTCTCAAGTGAGGTGGGCATCTTGGCATTTGCCTTGGGCACGGTGAATTGGTGGTGCGTGTCTAAGCCAAAAGGTAATTATCAGCAAGCTTGTCCCTCAGATATGTGAGTAACGGTGAATAGGAGGCAATTCAATTCAGAATCCTGAAGATTCCAACATCCACGTGGGAAGGGAAGCACATATGATAGTTATATATTGTTCCTAATTTTGTCAGTTTTAAGAGCATAACTTGAAGAAAACATTTTTGCATATATTATTTACAAGTGTTATTGAAATGTTTTTGGATGCTCATGTACAGGTTGCTTATATCATTACAATAGAAGGAAAACCATATTTTATCCATCTCAAAAAGCAGTAAGTATTTTATCTTTTCAAATTTTAATTTTTTGGTTTCTTGATTTTTAAAAATAATTACAAATAGGATTATTTCATTTTTGTTTAACATCTTTATTGGGGTATAATTGCTTTACAATGGTGTGTTAGTTTCTGCTTTATAACAAAGTGAATCAGTTATACATATACATATGTTCCTATATCTCTTCCCTCTCAATTCAAATGTATATTTGATACATATATACATTTGATACCTATTGTATATCAGTTATTGGGTAAAGTCATAGGCATACAAAAGGCAATAAAACATGGATACAGGTAAATAATTTATAATGTAGAAAGATATATTCAAACACATCAATAGAGAAATGGAGAACTGTTTTACAATGCGTTACTAAGATAAATGTGTAGGTAGGATTCTGTGGAAATCAGAGAAGGCTTTTTGGAAAGAGATGACTTGAGCGAAGGTAGTCAGCTCTGTGAAGAAGTGAGGTAGTGTTGGGGGACATCCTGATTCAAGGAAATCATGTGCAGGTTTGAGACAGACTGGATTTTTGTGGTGTGCAAAAAGTAGTGTGAATGACTGAAGGACATATTTATTGAGGATAGAAGTAAAACATTTTGGCAAAGTAGGCAGGAGCTGGACTGTAGAAGATCTAGAATGCCATGATAAGGGTATTAGAAGCCAAAATGTTTTTAAGCATGTACTTATATAGGTCCGTTGAGTCTTTATAGGCTGTTTCTGAGGGGGTAAAAGTGGAGGTAAGGTGTCTAATTGTATGATTATATAATAGTTTAGGTGAGTGATGGTAGTGGCTTGAACAATGACCATAGCGCTGGAAAGAAAAATTCAGTAAACCTTGAGGATAGATTTGGTAGAATGGGAAACAGTGAGGAATCCTGGATAATTTAGTTGTTGCTTAAGAAAATTGGTAGATTATAGTGTAATAAAATGAGAGATATTAATGAAGGAGATATTTATGTGAGGAAGGGGTGAGTTTGGTTTGCATTGCTTATAAGATATTCAAGTGGGTTTTTTTTCCCTTAGGTATATGAATATAGGAATTTGAATCTCTAAGGAGAGATTGGCAATAGGGATATAGATTTAGCAGTAATTTAGCAGTAATCAATAGGGATATAGATTTAGCAGTAATCAATTTGGCGTAATTTTTTTTTAAGTGAGAGCTTACAGAGTGTTTACAAATATACTGGTGGCTAAAGACGGAATCTTGGGAAAGACCAGTATTTCTCTTTTCGGTTCTACCGAAAGAGATCAAGCTAGAAGGGTCAGGGAGGTAGGAAGCGAAGCAGAAGAGTGATGTGTGATGTAAAATAAGTGATTAGAGTGAGTGGTCACAGTTTTCAAAATGATGCTAGAAGTCCAGTGCAATGATACTTTTAAAACTGTCTTTCGGATTTGACATTCTGGTGGTTATGAATCTTTTCCAGAGCAGTTCAGGGTGAGTAAGAATTGACAAAGCAAAGAAACTGTGTGTAGACCACTCTTTTGGTAAAATCTGTTGAGAATTGAAAATATGTAGGGAATAGCTAGAGGAGGACACAGGGCCAAGGGAGAGTTATTTAGGGTAATAATGACTTGACAATAAACTTTTCAATAGTGTTGAGATAAAAACCAGTAGAGAAGAAGAGTTTGAAATTACAGTACCAATAAAGTATGTATCTTCAATACATGGTGCAGAATAGGACGCATAGCACAAGTGTTTGCTTTGAACAAAAGAAGTAGTGATTCTCTGGGAATAAATATAAGGAGTGAGGATGGGTACAGGTGATCTGATGAGGTGACATGGAAGTTATTGAGATGATTGACAGGAGCGGTGTCAAGTTTCTGAATACTTACTGAGGAGAATGAAAGAAAATTCAGACCCAGGTTATTGGGAAGAATTGGTACTTAGTTAAGCTTAGTGAATATGAATTTGTAGTGATGCTAAAAAATCTTTCAAAATTCTGTCCTAACCCTACCTTTTAATTTTGAGATTCAAGTTTAAAATCTGGAATTAATGAGCAATAATGACAGAGAATTGAAAGTTCTTTGTTGGAAATTGAGACCTATGTTATTTCGCTATTTGATATTTCTAGCAATTTAGGTCGTTCATTATCATGCATTTTAGTATTATGTGTCACTATAATTAAAATGCCTCCCTCTGCCCCTAATTTATTGTAAATGACAAGCATTGGGGCAATAGGATATGCCAAGATAATGCACTACTTTAAATTTCTCCCTCAAAAGGAAAATTTGTATTATGAAGAATAATTTTTCTATGTCTTCTGTTCACAATTTGACCATGTTTTGGTGATTTCTGCCTAGATCATTTTTATCTTCAGCTTCTGTTGTTTATTCTTATGACAAAGATGACACCCAACATTCTCAGCCTTTGTTAGCTCAGGTAAGACTTAGGTATTTTGTTACAGATTTCTTATTCTGGATTTTCTTTAAAAATACAAATATTATGAAAGTTTAGAATATTACTTTACACATTCACTGAAATCGAATAATGTGGACTAGTTCTTATTTCTACCTGGCACAACTTCATTGGGTAATGGCCACTCATATTAAAGTACTAAGGTAGTGAAAGTAAAAAGTATAAGTGAGATATCTGGGATGTCCATTTCAAAAAGAACTTATCCATTTGTTTTTCTCTGTGTATTTTTTTTCAGATGGATTGCAATTATCATGGATATGTTGCAGGTTTTCCAAATTCTCTTGTATCCCTCAACATTTGTTCAGGACTCAGGTTGTAGCCTCTTTAAAGACATTCCATTTGCCAGTACTAGATCTTGCTAGTCTATAAGTTGATCCTTTATGTATCTTTTCTAGTTCTACAGTCACCTTTGTTATTTCAGTTCCCAAAGGCGTGAACCAGAATTACTGATAAAATAAAGTGTGTCACCCCGGCAGCATCCATTCCAGATGGGAGGCTACTTGTTGATTCTAACAGGATATGCTGCTTGAGGCTTTGAGCAATCTTGAGTGTGGGAGGTGCTGATTGGGTCTCTCCATACTAATCTAGTTTTCCCAAATTCTTTATGTTTTAACTCGTGTCTTAATTTCCTAGAATGGTTGACAGTGTGGAATGCCTGAGTCTGACAGGTACTTTGGCTCTGCTCATAGTCTTTCTTAGGCGCATAGCACCTTTAACTCAGCCACACAGATAAATGATTTAAGACGTGAAGTGTCAGAGGAGAGGTAAAGATTTCAAAGAGAAGAAAGGGACCTAAGACCAAGGAAAAGAGTGTCTATGGCTCCTAAAGGTTGGCTTAGAAAATCAACACCCTAGGTAGAGGTCTTAACCCCTTTAAGCACATGGATGCATGCCGCTAACCTTCTTTCTTTAAGATAATCAAAATATTTTTATTAGAATATTTGTAATAAAAAGCCATACATATCCTGTGTTATTACTGGTCCAGTTCTGGAGCAACACCTCAAAGAATAAAGAGATAAATAGAAAAATAAAGTGACTTTAAATGTAAAAAAATTTTTGGCCAAATCAACATTTCTCATAGTTTCAGTAGAATCATATCAGATTTGTTTTGATTATTTTAACATTCAGGGGAATATTGCAGTTTAAAAACATCTCATATGGAATTGAACCAATGGAAGCTGTATCAGGATTCATGCACATGATTCATGAAGAAAAAAATGATATAACTAATATTCCTCTGTTATGGGAAAATGACACTTATATCTATGATAGCTCACAGTATCAAGTCAGAAAAAGTTCAGAAGTAAGTGTGGACTGTTTAATTTAAATTTTTTCAGTATAATTTTATGAAATGAAAAATACTTTCAGAGCAAAATGTGGTGATATGCAAATTTTAAATTTGTTTTACTTTTTCATGATGGCTCTACATGACTTTTCAAATGGATGGAGAATGAAATTAAGTTCTTTGTTATGCTTGTTATTAGATGAAAGTTTAGCAAAAACTTAGGTAATTAATCTTGGAAACAGATATGTGAATATAAGATTAAATAAAGCAAAAAACTAATTTTCTTGTGTGGGCATTTGGATAATTAATGTAAATTATTCCTTTTCCTCAATTATTCTGGTAATTTAGGTGAAAATAATATGTGATCTAGATTTCTAAATGAGTCTTTGTTAATGTGAGAATTCAGAAATGAATAATATCAGTGGCTTACATAAGGTACATGTAAAGCAAACTGATGAATTCTTCCTCCACAAAGACCTGTAAGCTGCCATAAATAACTTTCCTGGCTCTAGTGAACTGCCCATGATTGTAAACTTTAGTAATATTTTTCTAAACTACATTATTTATCAAAAGTAGTTTCTAATAATTGGTTGCAGAAAATCTGCGCACATGGAAGATTACTATGAAAAATTATCAAAAGGCTAAGGAAAGGAAACTTTTATGTTATAAACTTAATATTTCTAATTTCAGCTACTGCAAAAATCGAAATATACCTGGGTTCTTGTATAGCTTGGAGTCTCATTGAAAATTCTTATTAATCACAGGCATGCTTTGGACTGGAATTTTCTGAATAGTACATAAATTTTGTAGTTGAAAATCAGCTTAATATTTAATCAGTATCAACTCGTCTCTCAGTTTATCTCTGAACATAATTTCAATAGAAGGCAAATTTTTGGAAATTTCTCAAGACTCATGTTGTATGTTTTTCAGAGACCTGGCTATTTCAAGTTATTCCCCCGATATCTTGATATGTATATTGTTGTGGATAAAAATCTGGTAGGTTCTTTTTTTTGCATTGTTATTTTTAAATGATTTAACAATCGTCTTTAACCTGATTTCAAGGATATAATAAAAATTTTAAAACCATTTTTTGATAAAAGTTTATTTTGCTTTTGCAATGAATGCTTAAAAATTATGAATACACCAAGTTTTTGTTAATTCATTTATTTTGTATTCTGTGCTCTCTAACTGCTTTTGTAAAGTGAACTGTCTTTTCATTTTCTGAAGCTTGCCAGCTATTTTTCTTTCTTTCAAAAGGACTACATCCTCAGTGGAAGCATAGATTAGAACTCCTCCAAACCCTACCCCCCGCACACAATAATATCTAATTGCCTCAGCCTAATTAGAAGGGTAGTCTACAAAACAAACATGCCACTCCTTCTAAGCAAAGGGAGAAAACAAGTTATATGTTTTGTTCTAGCTAAGTTCTAGGGAAACAAGTTATGTTTTGTTCTCCTAAGTTCAAGGTAAATGAAATGACAGAAAACGAACAAAATTCTCATATTGAGGATGCATGACTGTACTTCAGGTCTTGTATAGGTTTGGGTTTTGAATTTATACAGCATGGGCAATTAGTAGATTCTAAGCTATGAGGCTACATTTGTCCCAGGTTGGTAGGTCTGAGGGCAGCTGATGGAAGCAAGTAGTATTTCTCTCTGGAGGAATGCAACTTCAAGCAGGATTCCTACAGATTAATATCAGCCATATATGAGCTCAAAATCCATAAGAGACTTAGCCACCATGTACAAGGGTTAGCAAAACAAAAACTCATAGATTAGACCCACAAAATTTTGAGATATTAAAATTTTAAGATATAAGTTATAAAATAAAGATATTTTTTCCCATAAGGAAGTCATTGGTTCTGAAGAGGTGAATATGAGGCAGGGAAGCTGAGCTAACTCTTGGCAGAGGTGACAAAAATTGAAGTGTATGACTCTTTAATGAGTTGATAGGTTTTTTAGCGTGGCTAAGCTGACCCAGTACAAAGTCAACACATACACTAAAATCACATTCTTACAAAATGACAAGGCAATTAGAAGTAGGAAAGCAGAATTTTAATCATAATCAAAAAAAGGAAAGCAATAAAGGGAAAGAAAAATGTACATTAAACTTTTGTTTCATAAATGTGGACCAAATTAAAAGCTAATTAAGATAAAATATTTCAACTCAAATATGTAAGTAATTATATTAGATGTAGAGGGATTAAGTACTGCAGTTAAAATCCAAAGATAAAGTTTAATTAAAAGCAAAGACAGGGCTTCCCTGGTGGCGCAGTGGTTGAGAGTCCGCCTGCCGATGCAGGGGACACGGGTTCGTGCCCCGGTCCGGGAAGATCCCACATGCCGCAGAGCGGCTGGGCCCGTGAGCCATGGCTGGAGCCTGTGGTCCACAATGGGAGAGCCACAACAGTGAGAGGCCCACGTACCGCAAAAAAAAAAAAAAAAAAAAAGCAAAGACAGAGTATGATACAAGACACACACACACACACATACACACGTACATACTCGCTCTGCTTACAACTGACGTCAAAAATATATGTCATGAAAGTAAAAGATTATAAAAAATATACCATAAAAATATTCTAAAAACCTGTTTAGCTAGATTAATAGCAGACAAAGTAGACTTTAAGATAAGTGTAAGTTATCTCTTACTGTGTAACATACCACTCCAAAATTTAGTGGCCTAAACCAATAACCATTTATTTATTTGGTTGGTAGCCCAGAGATGTTTTTGGACTTTTATCAATCTCAGACCCTTTTTATCTAATCTGGTGGCCTTTTATTGATACAGTATCTTAAAACCTTTGTAGTCTTCTTTCTTTTCTCTTCTCTTTTTTCTTCTTTTTACAGGATTACTTTTTAACCACCTGTTTTTCCTCACACAGAGAATGTTCTTTACTGAGATTTCAAAGGCATAGAAATACAGTTTAAAAGATTTCAACAACTTTTTTTTTTTTTTTTTTTTTTGCGGTTTGCGGGCCTCTCACTGCTGTGGCCTCTCCCGCCACGGAGCACAGGCTCCGGATGCGCAGGCTCAGCGGCCATGGCCCACGGGCCCAGCCGCTCCGCGGCATGCGGGATCCTCCCGGACCGGGGCACGAACCCATGTCCCCTGCATCGGCAGGCCGACTCTCAACCACTGCGCCACCAGGGTAGCCCTTGAACAACTTCCTTTAAACAAAATATACGTTGCTATGTGGTTACCAGTGGCAGGTATGAGGATTAACTGCGACCTTTGTGAAGCCCAGTAGGGAGCTTGCAAAAGAAGTTCTAGTGCCTTTTCTTGAAATAGCCCACCAGTGTGAAATCACCTGTTTCTTGAATTGTTTTCTAATGAAGGAGTACAGAGTATTATGTTTTCTTAGCATAATGTCCTAAAGTTTTATCCATGTTGTAGCATGTGACAGCATGCCCTTCTTTTTTAAGGCTGCATAATATCCCACTGTGTACCTATACAGTATTTTCTTTATCCAGTCACCTGTTAATGGACGTTTGAGTTTCTTCCACCTTTTGGCTATTGTGAATAATGATGCAAGGAACATGAATGTGTAAATATTTCTTTGGGATCTTTCTTTTTTAAATGTTTGATAGAAGTTTTTAGTGAATCTACTTGGTCCTGAATTTTACTTTATTATGTGGTTTTTGATTACTGATTCATTTTCATTACTTACTCATTATTGATCTAGTAATATCTTTAATATTTTTGTGTATTTCAGTCTTGGTAGGTTAGGTTTCTAGGAGTTTATGTTTTTTATGTTATGCAATTAGCATATAATTATTCATAGTAGTCTCTTATAATCCTTTTTATTTTTGTGGTATCAGTTGTAATGTCCTCATTTCATTTCTAATTTTAGTTATTTGTATCTTCTGTTTAAAATTTTTTTTTAATTTTATACTGAAGTATAGTTAATTTACAATGTTGTGTTAGTTTCAGGTGTACAGCCAAGTGATTCAGTTATACATATACATATATCTATTCGTTTTCAGATTCTTTTCCTATATAGGTTATTACAAGATACTGAATATAATTCCCTGTGCTATGCAGTAGGTCCTTGTTGATTATCTACTTTATATATAGTAGTGTGTATATGTTAATTCCAAACTCCTAATTTATCCCTCCCCACCTTTCCCTTTTGGTAGCCATAAGTTTGTTTTCTAAGTCTATGATTCTGGTTCTGTTTTCTAAATAAGTTCATTGGTACTATGTTTTTTAGATTCCACATATGTGTGTTATCATATATTTGTGTTTCTCTCTCTGACTTCACTTAGAATAACAATTTCCTGGTCTATCCATGTTGCTGCAAAGGGCATTATTTCATCCTTTTTATGGCTGAGTAATATTGCATTGTATATACGTACCACATCATCTTTATCCATTCATCTGTTGATGGACATTTAGGTTGCTTCCATGTCTTGACAATTGTAAATAGTGCTGCAGTGAACATTGTGGTGCATGTATCTTTTTGAATTATGGTTTTCTCTGGATATATATGCCCAGGAGTGGGATTGCTGGATCATATGTTAGCTCTCTTTTTAGTTTTTTAAGGAAGCTCCATATGTTCTCCATAGTGGCTGCACCAATTTACATTCCCACCGATGATGTAGGAGGGTTCCCTTTTCTCTACACCCTCTTCAGCATTTATTGTTTGTAGACCTTTTGATGATGGCCATTCTGACCGGTGTGAGGTGATACCTCATTGTAGTTTTGATTTACATTTCTCTAATAATTAGCGATGTTGACCATCTTTTCATGTACCTTTTGGCCATCTGTATGTCTTCTTTGGAGAAATGTCTATTTAGATCTTCTGCCCATTTCTTTTTTTTTTTTTTTGTGGTATGCGGGCCTCTTACTGTTGTGACCTCTCCTACTGTGGAGCACAGGCTCTGGACGCACAGGCTCAGGGGCCATGGCTCACGGGCCCAGCCACACGGGCCCAGCCACTCCGCGGCATGTGGGATCTTCCCAGACCGGGGCACGAACCTGTGTCCCCTGCATTGGCAGGTGGACTCTCAACCACTGCGCCACCAGGGAAGCCCCTCTTCTGCCCATTTTTGATTGTGTTGTTTATTGTTTTGATATTGAAATGTGTGAAGTGTTTGTATATTTTGGAGATTAATCTCTTGTCTGTCACATCATTTGCAAAAATTTCCTCCCATTCTGTAGGCTGTCTTCATTTTGTTGATAGTTTCCTTTGCTACGCAAAAGCTTTTAAGTTTAATTAGGTCCCAGTTGTTTTTGTTTTTATTTTTATTTTCATTACTCTAGGAAGTAGATCAAAAAAGATCTTGCTGCCATTTATGTCAAAGAGTGTTCTGCCTGTGTTTTCCTCTTACATTTTAGGTCTTTAATCCATTTTGAGTTCATTTTGCTGTATGGTGTTAGAGAGTGTTCTTATTTCATTCTTTTACACGTGGCTGTCCACGTTTCCCAGCACCACTTATTGAAGAGGCTGTCTTTTCTCCGTTGTATATTCTTGCCTTCTTTGTTGTAAATTAATTGACCATAGGTGTGTGGGTTTATTTCTGGGCTTTCTGTCCTGTTCCATTGATCAATATTTCTATTTTTGTGCCAGTACCATACTCTTTTGATTAGTATAGCTTTGTAGCATAGTATGAAGTCAGGGTGCCTGATTCCTCTAGCTCCATTTTTGTTTCTCAGTATTGATTTGACTATTCAGGGTTTTTTGTGTTTCCATACACATTTTAAGATTTTTTATTCTAGATATGCCGAAAATGCCATTGGTAATTTGATAGGGATTGCATTAAATATGTAGATTGCCTTGGGTAGTATAGTCATTTTGACAATATTGATTCTTCCAATCCAAGAACATGGTATATGATTCCATCTGTTTGTGTCATCTTTGATTTCTTTCTTCAGCATCTTATAGTTTTCAGACTACAGGTCTTTTGCCTTTTTAGGTAGTTTTATACCTAGGTATTTTCTTCTTTTTAATGAGATGGTAAATGGGATTGTTTCCTTAGCTTCTCTTTCTGATC